TCGTTGTTCGTTGTTATTCGTCGTTATTGTATTTTATTTTGTTTCACTTATCCAAGTGTTCACATGCTATTTTATTTAGAGTCTTTTCACTTGACTGCTGAAACTATTTTCTTCACAGTTTTATTTATCTAAATATTAGTGTATTATTTTATCCGTAATATAATCTAATTTCTCCAATGTTCGTACACTATATTATGTATAGTTTTATTTAGTCAAGGTTATTTTATCTATACTACTTTATCCATTATACACTATTTTACCTACAATTTTATTTATCCAAATGCTCGTAAACTATTTTATCTATAATTTACTTTATCAATATGTTCGCACACTATTTTACTGACAGTTTCATTTATCCATATATTCACGTGCTACTCTATCTACAGCATAATGTGCCAAAATGTACGCGCACTATGTTTTATCTACAATTTTACTTCTCTTAGTACAACCACAAAATTCTTTTACAAACAAGTGAATTTTCGTAAACTGATCATACTCTGATACAAGAAGCTCGTGCATAATTAAAAGGCGCGTTTGCCAACAATATCTTCCACCTTCCCTCGGCAATTCAGAGATCAACAATTTCATTTCACCGAAATTCACGAAACAAAGACAGACCTTTTAACGTGTCGCGAGCTCCAACAGGACCGCAAAAAAGAATCCATCGGCCAGGCAAAGAACGGCATTGAGAGAAGCGTATTCCCGAGCATAATTGTTTAATTGAAAAGCAACGGATTTTCCATAGAGTCGTTCGACGATGGAAATCGGTTGTCAGGAGCAAGCCCGCTTATCAGAAAATGGATTCCCTTTTCACTAATTTCATTCCGACCGCTTATTACGCGGAGAACGCCGCGGTCGGATTGAATCAACGTTTCGTTCCGTTCGTCGTCGAATTAATACCGATACGATTTCCGTTGTGTACAACACAGATCCGGTGGATATGATCTTCAATGGGCTCACAATAAAGCGGTCGAAGCCGAAGATCAAGGAGAAGCTTTTAGAATTAGGATTGGCCGCGGATCGAAAGGAGCTGCGCAAGAAACGGTCCAGAAAAAGCAACCACGGTAAGCGTTCACTCTCCCTTTCCGTCTTTCATCCGCCCTGTTCGAACCACCCCGTCATCCACCCTTCTTGTTCCATCCCTGGTCTACTCGATCTATAGCCGTTTGGCTCTCTTTACTCCTGTCCCTTTCTCTCTCTCTCTCTCTCTCTTTCTCTCACTCTTTCTCTATCCCTCTCTCTCTCTCTTTCCCTCTCTCTTTCTCTCTCTCTTTCTCTCTCTTTTTCTCTTTCCCTCTCTCTATCTCTCTCACTCTTTCTCTTTCCCTATCTCTTTCTCTCTCAATCTCTCTCACTTTCTCTCTTTCTCTCTGAATCTCTCTCACTTTCTCTCTTTCTCTCACTTTCTCTCTTTCTCTCTCTCTCTCTTTCTCTCTCTCTTTCTCTTTCCCTCTCTCTATCTCTTTCTCTCTCAATCTCTCTCACTTTCTCTCTTTCTCTCCCAATCTCTCTCACTTTCTCCCTTTCTCTCTCTCTCTCTCTCTCCTTCTCTCTCTATTTTTCCAGCTCTTTCTCCAAGACTCAAGCGGCTCCAGAGCACTCCTTGTTCTGCCCAATCCCATCCCATTCTATTCGCATCTGTCTTTCTTACTATCCTCAGATTCCGCGACTATTCCCATTCGATCAGTCTTTCGCTAATACGATTGCCGGCGACTGCATGGGCCGGGAGGGGGATAAAAGCATCGGTCGAAGGAGACGCAGACAGAGGGTAGCGACAGGCGTATAGAGGGACAGAGACAAAGAGACGGACGCACGGTTGGGAGATTTGCCCCGAAAATACGGAAAAGGGTCATTTTTTGAAACTACCTATTTTTTGGAACTATCTATTTTTTGAAACTATCTATTTTTTTGAAACTATCTATTTTTTGAAATTGCAGTAAATTCTCCCTAATTGACCCTCAGCTTGGAAACAAAAATGGACAATTTGGGAACAGGCTCGAATAATCGTGTCTCCTCTTCCCAAATTGTCCATTATTGTTTCCAAGCTGAGGACCAATTAGGGAGAATTTACTGCGCCTATTTTTTGGAACTACCTATTTATTGAAACTACTGAAATATATGTAGACAGGAAGATACAGTGAGTATGAAACTGAGAGAGAAAGAAAGATAGAAATAAAGAAGAAATAATGATACAGAAAGTAAGAAATTAAGAGAGAAGGAAAGACAGAAATAAAGAAATAGATGTATACGTATAGAGAAAAAGATATAGAGGGGTGAAGAAATAGACAGATATAAAGGAAGAAAGAAATAGAGAGATATAAATGAAGTAAAAGATAGAGACATATAAATGAAGTAAAAGATAGAGACATATAAAGAAAGAAAGGAAGGAAGAAATAGAGAGATTTGACGAAAGAAATAAGAAGAAAAGAGAGACATAAATAGAGAGAGAAATAAATAGGGAGAAAAATAAATAGGGAGAAAAAGGGAGGTAGAAGAAAAGTAAGGGAGAACGAGAGAGGGAGGAATAGAGATAAATAAAGGGGCAAGGAGGGAAAGAATCAGAGTAATAGAGGCAGAGTTAAATAGCAAGAGAGTGAGAGAAAGAGAGAGAGAGAAAGAAATGGAGTGAGAGATAGAGAGAGTGTGTAGAGGGGTGGCGCGCAGGCCGTCGCCGCGAAGGAAATGAAAGGGGAGATCAATTTGTACCGAATCTTCTTGTAGACCCCTCTTTATGATCCAGGAAAAAACCTTTCGCCTGTATCGCTGGAGATCAAGTTATACGGACTTTGTTTCCCGCGCTCCCCACCGGCGGTTGGGTTTTTTCCTGGTCTGTCCTCCCGACGATCGAGCACACACAATCGTCGAATTAATTGGGTATCCCCGCGAGATCGCCCCGAAAGATAATTTAATAGAAAAATACCGGTGCCATTCTTGGTGCCGTGTTTCGGTTCATTCGGCACGGTTAATATGTACCTCATTCTGTTAACCCAATTTGCGGTGGTTTAATGGGCCGTCATGGTCGCGATTGTTCAGACGATTTTGCTCGGGATCGTGATCGAATTGTACGAAACATTAGTGATCAGTAGACTGCGGACTGTGTACATTTATGACAAAAATGAATAGGTGAAATACTGAATCGTAAAGGAATTAAACGAATTTAAGGATACCGTTGCATTACTTTCAACCTAGTAGAATTATTAAAAGAGGAGGAACATTTCTATCTGACTCATGTTTCTTACAACTAACTTAAACGATCTTTATCTTTATTTCTATTTTCATTTCGTTGTTAGTCCTCTAACACACTTCATTATTATTTTGCAGTAAATAATCTCTGGTTTCTTTAATTAAATTTATTTATTTTACTTATTTCTATTATATAATTTCGTTGCTAGATAAAAATATAATCGTTTTTTTACACAATAATTAATTTTAAACAATTATTAAGCAGTTTTTAATTGTAAATTGTAGACTTTTCGAAAATTATGAAATCATCGTTGGTAGATAATGTACTAATAGAGTTTTAGGTCAAACTTTACTTTAAGGGTCCAGAGATTTCTGGCTCTTTTTTGTATATTCCCATAGATTTTGTCGAGAAAACTTCAAAAATTCAAATCCCAAAGTGCGTAAATCGTTAGTTCAAAAGTTATACGCGTTCAAAGTCTTCTTATACGCGTTCTATCTCTGACGTAACACTTAAAGTAAAGATCAACCAAAATGGATACTGATTTTTAAATTCATGCTTTTGCCACTTGTGTCAAAGATGCTCTAACATGTCAAAAACTTTTGAAATCCATCAACTTTGAGCGCGTAGAACTTTTGAACCAATGGTTTGAAAAATTGCTTCAGAGATTCTTTTGCAACTATCAAGTTTGCCGATTTTCTTTTCATAAGTCTACATAATAAATTTATTTATTCAAATGTATATTGCAATAAAGATCGCACAAGATTCGAAATAGCTAGTCTTATGTACGCCTGGGTCACTTTTTATATTGCAAGTTTTTGCGCCCCTAACTTTCGCACAGCTTTTGCAATCCGTTTTATTCACTTTTTATACGCTGTTTATACACATACGTTCATACGTTTACTTCTACACAGCTGTCACAAGTCTATCTTCACAATTTCTACTTCAACGCGGTTTTTCAAAACGTTTCCTTTACCTTCACACGGGTTTTCACACGTTTATATTCGATCGAGTCATAAATAACTTCCAATGCAGCTAGGTAGAATCTATTGTTCGTATCTACCCACTATGAGAATCACCAGAACAAAGGAGTTTTTGCTTTCACTAAATGGATAAGGGTTCAAAATAAAGAAAATAAAAATACAATACGAATAAATAAATAAAAAGAAAAACAAAAAGAAGACCGAAGTTATGACTCGACCTAATAAGAAGAAATTCAAGACTTTATTTTTGCAAGACAGTAACAGAATCTGATCACTTTCGGTGCTCGCTAATCCTGAAATCGAATTTAAGATGAAACATAAAGGCGATTCTATTACATACTATCATTCGATTCTTTTCGTGGCGCAATGTAGGAAAATTATATCACTATAATACGAACTCTCTTGCACTTCGATAAAACCTCAAATACACAGTTCGAGAAAAACCAGGAGTTTCTCAGGACCATTTCACCCATACCATTGCGACCGAACGAGAGTCAGCACGTTCTGCTTAACGTTCGCGCAACAACTGAACTGTCTTTAGATTGCATTATTATTTTGGCTATAACCCATTCGCCAGGTAAAATCATGGCAACAAACACCACTCCGGGCTCAACGTCGTGTTCCCCTCTTATCGCGTTTCATTGTATTCGATTGTTATTGAATGGCTTGGGTCGTTCGAGAAATTCGAGATAAACGCGTCGTACGACATTTTTATCAGTTTACAAAATTATAAAAATGATTTGTTGCCGTTCATATGTTCAAGATTAATGTTAGTAACCTCTTCAAGAATTAACTCTTAGTTTAATTCCTCGAGCAAGACAATACTTCTAACTTATAGTATTTCCAGTTAATGTAATTATTTTTCATTTTGTGCATATAATATTCAGCTCATTTGATCTTCCAATGATTACGCTTTGCACGATTTATTAAACAATAGATTTTAATGCTGGAAAAGTGATTTTGAAAATTAGGTAGCAGTTTTTAGTGCACTCTGGTGCAAAGAATAATTTATTTAATCCTTATTTACTATACACGATTTATTTCTGATATAATTATTATATTAGAAATTATAATATATTATTTCTAATAATCGACGACAGACGTCAATAATGTTTATTTATTTCACTGTATGTTTGCGTTTTTATTAACCATTTGACAACGTAACTGCTATTTTCGATGTATAGCAAACACATAAGAATTTAGTCAAATGAAGTAGCAGCTTCAGAAACTTTGGAAACTGTTCAAAGAAGTGATGCAAATTTTCAAAAATGTACACAAACATTTTCTCAAAAATTGTCGAAAAAAAATGTCGAAGTCATTTGACCAGCGAACAGCATTTGCTGTTTTATATTTTAACGTTTTCAATATTATATTTTAGTATCCTTTAAATTACATAAATGCCTTTATGCAAAATGATTAATATTCGAGCATACGTCGTATTAAAATAAAAATTGCAAAAAGTCTAAATAAATGAAATCGTACAGTTTGTACAAGATAAGATTAAGTCACTTTTCACAAGTCGTTTTTAGAGTTCTGTACGTTCAGCGTTTAAAAGATGTCTCAATATTTTATTATGCGATCGCATTTAGCGGCAATAAATTGGAGTTCGTGAAACAGAAAAAATAGTTAAAATCCTACTATTATCATTTGAAGCAGCAGCCAGACGATCAATTAATAAATACGGCGAAATCGTCCAGTTTGAATTTGGTCCGGTCAGATTGGCGATTCGTAGCACCGTGCAGCGCATCGAATGTTATGAATATAGACAACACTATTGAAATAACGTTTGCATTTCTACCTCGACAGTGCGCACGAACGAAAGCCCCGTCTCGGCCAGGCTCGTCACGGAATACAAATTTGGTTATTTAATATCGGAAGACTCGAATTCTGCTCGTAGTTTTCAGGGGCCCGGTTCCAATATGACTGATCCTCCCCCGCTATTACGGTATTCCACCAATTCCATATTTATTATAGTTGCATTGTCCTTCTCTTCCCCTTCCTTCTATCCGTCTTCCCCAACTGTTCGCCGTCGACTTGTTTTCATTCAATGCGTTGTAATATCGCGGCATTGTTCCACACACAATACAGGACCCCCTAAAAGTCGCAGAACGGTCAATTATCTCAGAAAGTCCGAATTTTGGAAACAATGTTTTAGAAAAACGTGTTTTACGAAAGAGGTTATAAGGGACATTTTTCCCTTCATATTGTAAAACAATATCACAATCTGGTAATATGATAATATAACAATAGCATTGTATTAATAATAACAATATTAATATTAACACTTAGCCGACCGATCGGTAGATAGTCATTAGATAATGACATATAATAATAACATATGGTATTCTACCATGATCTAAATGTCCTGTATATTGACCTGTAAAATACGATATATCGCATTTTAAAGTATGTACCTTCATTATAATCAAAAACTTCCTGCAATGATTGTACTGGTCAGTTTCAAAGACTTGGTTCATTTTACTTGGATAATTTATCGTCACAATTTACTGTTTCTTCACTTTGTCACAATGAAATTATTTCTGAGACCATCATCACGCAACGATCGACGATTAGATTCAGTGCAATCCTGCTGTTCGTATAATTGCATGAACGATTACACGCGATCGAAATATTCCCGGCGAACGTTCTCCTAGAATCCGGAATGCACCGGTTCGGCGCGCATGATATCGAAAGAAGCGGCATCGACGAAATTTATATCCATTTCCACGTGCTCTGTAAAAAGGGAAATCGTCGTGGGAAACACAGTCTGCTAGTAATTCCGACGAGAATGAAAGCAGCGACGAAGAAGCTGGAAAATCCTCGAGACGCAGCAGCCAGGCTCCCAATAAACCAGCAAACAGGAAAACGAAGACGAGCACGAAGAAGAAAGAACCGGCCATAGTCTACACGGATGCACAATTATCTGGACTCCTGAAGGATGTCATCGAAAAAAGTGAGTAACACCGTGTCGCCCTTTTCTTTTGTCGGCTTCCCGGGCCAGCGCCAGTGATTTATGGGTAGAAGATTCCCGGCAACAACTTCGAATATTCTGCACAGGAGAGGTGTGCCAGTTATTCGATTTACTCGAGCACGCGAATTTCGAGTCCAGAAATGATCGATCTTGCGAGTTACAGGCTGAGTTGGGCATATTTTATTGGAATAACGAATCAAATTGTATTCGTAGGATTTATTCGATGTATTGCTAGTAAACAATTTTATTATTATTCAAATTAAATTGTATTCGAAACACGTTATTCGGATAAAATGTTATTGAAGACGTTAGTTGAATAAAATTTTATTCGAAACACTTATTCGAAGGATATATTCGAAATGCTATTTCGAATTAAATTTTATCCGAAGAATTTTTATTCGAAACGTTATTCGAAGAAAATTTTGTTCGAAAGAAATTTTATTCGAAGAAAACTTTTGTCGAAGAAAACTTTAGTCGAAGAATTTATACGAAGAAAACTTTAGTCGAAGAATTTATACGAAGAAAACTTTAGTCGAAGAATTTATTCGAAGAAAACTT